GCGTTCCCTTCATTCTATTTGTCTGAAGGTGTTTCAGGTGCTTTTTTGGTTTCTTTTTATTCTTCCTTGAGGTACTTCTTTATTATGGCCAAAGGGAGAAGCGCTGAGTGGTGTAAGCAAAGGGCAGGGAGAGGGGATGGAGGGAGCAAGGAAATGCACTGCATTAAATGCAAAGTAATGGGGACAGTGATGAAAGGAGGGAGAAGATGAGCAGATCAGAGAGAGGAAGGATGAATTATAAATGAGGAGGGATGGGAGGAAAGCCGTGTCAGGATGTAGTACAAGGAAACAAATGTCATAAATCTGTGTGCGCTGCCACTGCTCTGTTCTCTGCTGTCACCGAAGGAAGGAGCGATGGCAGCGAAGGAAGGAGCGATGGCAGGGCAGTTGGGCTCAGGTGTCCGGGCTGCAGGGCTGTTCTGTAGTGTTTTGCTGGGGAATTGTGCTTATGGATGAGTTCTGTTGCTTAGCACTGCTGTCATTGCAGAGCGAAGCCCAAGAAGGCCGAGGGCAGCACAGTGCAGCGCAGGTCCATGCGGCTCCAGAGGATGCAGCCCCCAGAGGTCCCGCAAGTGGAGGCACCGGCGCAGGAGGAGGAAGAATATGTGAGATGGGGCTGGGGCTGGGGCTGGGGGGGCTGCTGGAGGACAGCTGTGTGCTGCCGAGTGCTGCCAGGCTCCCTGGAAAGCCCTTCAGGCACTGCGTGGGGCTGTGCTGCTGGCAGAAGGGGAGCGCACACCCTGAGCACTGCACTGCCTGCATCTCCTCGGAGGTGGCTGATGTTTGGAGGTGGCTGATGCTCAGAGGGCCATTAATGAGGCAGTGCACCTTGGGGTGCTGCTGAGGGTCCTCAGGTGCTGCAGTCTGCATTTCTCAGCAGTCTGCAGACACGAGCAGTGTTATGCTCAGCTCTGTGCCGGTGGTTGGTGTGAGCTGTGACCCCGTGTCCCTGTGTCCCAGCCCCAGGTCCCCGCTGGACCGCTGCCCATGGCCGTGGATGGGCAGGAGGAGAGCAGTGATACAGCATTGCTGGGCACCTGGCTGCGGCTGAGCGAGGTACGGCTGGCTGCCTTTGGTGGCATCTCTGGATAACATTGCTCGTGTCCTACGTGGTCCCATTCTGATCTGCATCTCTTTTCAATCCTTAGATGAACAGTAATGACACTGAAAAGCCCACTTGTGACATGAAGAGGTAATGGGGGGTGACACAGAGCCTGGTGTAGGCTCTGCTCCTCCCTGTGGTGGCTGACATGGAGGTGTGTGCAGGTACCAGGCTGCCCTGAGCAGCATGCTGCTGCGTGAGGATGGCATCAGGAAGGTGGTGAGCAGCCGTGTGTGCTCCGTGGCCATCCACCCCTCGGAGAGCACCGTGCTGGTGGCAGCTGGTGACAAGTACGGTCACGTCGGGCTCTGGGACGCTGTAAGTGTGCTCCTCTGCCCAGCAGCGCCGTGCTGGCACACTGTGAGCCATAGCATTGCCATTCCTGCTGATGGGCTCAGCTGACGGCGGTGCCACAGGAGCTGTGCTGGTGTGGGAGGCTGAGGGGAGAGGGATGCTCAGCAGTTTGGGTTCTGGGTTTGTGCTGGACTGACCAGCTTCAGCTGTGTGCTGCCTCTGCTGTTTGAAATGCTCCACATAACGTTGGAGACTGCTGACCCCTGCTGCCCCTCCCACAGCACTCGGTGGTCCCACGGAGCAGCAAGCACTGCACAGCTGTGGCAATGGGTGGGAAGCACTGCAATGGCTCTTATTAAGCATCCGTTTATTGGCTTTTGTTATTCAGAGCTGTACAACCGAGGGAGGAGCGCTCGTCTTCACCCCACACAATTTCTCCGTCAACTGCATGCGCTTCTCGCCCTCCCACCCCGCACAGCTGCTGTCCCTGAGCCACGACTCCCTGCGCTGCGGGGATGTCAGCAGGGCGGTGTTTGATGAGGTGGGTGCTGCCCCGTCCTGCTCCCGTTGCAGCCCAGGGGTTACGTGGGGGTTGTTAACAGGGGAGGTGAACGTCCCATTTCCATGGGGGCACACGAGGTGGCTTTGACTGGTGTGAGGAAGGTGGCGGTGCTGCCCAGCCAGTCGCACTTTGGCTGGGGCGGCTGGAGCTCTGCATGGTAGAAGGAAGGAGGTTGGAAACTAAATTCAATGCGTGCCCCTTCCCGAAACCAGCGCTGCTTGAAGGTGGGGAATGAGAGCAGCTTAAAGAACAAAGCATGAGCCAGATGACTTTGCTCTTCCCAGGCTCCGAGGGAGCAGAGTTGTGACTGTCCTTGCTGCGGCAGCTCGGGGGCCTCACAGTGCTCCATGTGTTGTGGTCCAACCCATCTGCACGGAGCGGCTCCGAGAGCATGGTGCAGGGCCAGCTGAGGTGGGGGAGGTCAATTGCCTGCTGTGGGAAAAGTGCACCATTTGAACAGATAGGTCATGCAATGGAGAGCTGAGCTCCCCAGTCAGGTCACTGTAGAGTTTTCAGTATCCAAAAAATGCCCGCAGCGTTTGGTGTTGTGTGTTTACTGTGTATGGTTGTATAATTTTACTTTCCTTTGCCCTTTTCGGCGCTCAGATATGCAGAAGTGAGGACAGCCTCTCCTCCTTTGATTTCCTGGAAGACGGCGCCTGCACGGCCGTCGTGGGGCTGTGGGGTGGCACAGTGGCTGTGGTGGACAGGAGGACCCCGGGGACGTCACCAGAGCTCTCTGCAGACATTGGCTTCAAAGTAACGAGGACAGTGGACGTGCACCCCGTGGACAAGCAGTACTTCCTTGCTGCTGGCTCTGTGTACGTAGCTCAGAATGCACTGCTGTTGTCTGCTTGGGATGTTCCGTGGGCCTCGCTTTGATGCCTGCTGCAAGGGGCACCGTGCAGAGCAGGAGCTGTGCTGGGGGTGGTTCTCAGTGCTGCTGGATGGTCCCGGCTTTCTTGGCTCTTAGGAAACCCGTTTTTAGTCTTCAGCAGCATTTGAAATGATGGAATCTTGTTTTATAATCCCTTACCTGCTCACCTGCTGCGTTGCAGCGATGTCCGTGTCTACGACGTCCGATGGCTGCGGCGCAGTGGGAACAAAGCTGTGAGCACCCTGCATGGGCACACCAAGAGCGTGGCCTCTGCCTACTTCTCACCCATCAGCGGGCACCGCGTGGTCACGGTGTGTGCAGACGACAAGCTGAGGTGAGGCTGGGGGGGCTGAGGCCTTTTGGGGGGGCTGAGCCTGCAGTGCCCTGGTTCCTTAGTTCCTGTCTTTGCTGCCCACCGCTGAGAGCATCCTCTGCCTCCGTCGCTTCTTCAAATGGCATTTTGCATAGGCATTCGTATTCTGATTTTGATTTTATTTTTATTTTTCTGATTTTCGTTTTCCTGAGGAAAGTTGATCAGGGAGCAGCTCTGGGCCTTTTTGGTCATTGCTCAGCTTATGCTGCTGAGCCTTTTGCCCCCTTACAGCTGCTGTGTGGGGAAGGAGAGCCCAGCAGAGCTGTGCCGGTGTTTCCACCCTGGGAGCTGCTGGCAGTGCGCCTTCACCAGGGCTTTCCTTCCTTGTTCCACGCATCTTCTTGTGCCATAGTGAAATGGACAAGGAAGGGGATAGGGGAACCTGTCATTTTGCTCTGCTGTCCTCACAACAGCATTCTGGGAGGTCTGCCCTCAGTTTGTGCTGAGAGGAAATTCCCATTGCAGAGTGTGGCTGGGATGTCAGTGCTCACGGCTGAGTGCTGCACTGTGTGCCTGTGGTGCTGCTCAGGGTGCTCCATGAGGTGGGGCTGCCTCTTCTACCACATCTAGTGCCCATCAGCACGCATTGTTTTGTTCTACAGGGTCTATGACACCAGCTCTTTATCGGCCACCTCTGCCCTGCTCAGCACTGTCAGGTACGGCGGGGTGGGCTCTGCTGGGTTGGTGCTGCGCGGGGTCTCACAGCCAGGAGGAGGCAGCAGCTTGTGACTGCTGCAGTGCGTTCTGTTTGAATGCTCTCTCTTTCTCTGTCCATTTCTAACATACGAGGGGTCACTGAGCAGTGAAGGATGTGTTTCCAAGAGGTGCTGCTGCCCGCAGAGCTCTGCCAGCTGCCAGGCTTGGCCCCTTGGTGTGGGCACCACATCGGGGATGGGTGTGACTCAGGCTGCTTTGAGGCACGGAAGCACAGGATCATGAAGTTGGAAAAAAGGCCACTGAGACCATCGAGTCCATCCGTGACCCATCAATACCCATTCGTTTCCAAGTGTCCTCTGGGTTCTGTTCTTGCTCCGTTTTGTTTCTTTGTCCCTTTGCAGCCTCTTGCCAGCGTGTAGGGAGCAGCGGGATGGGTTTTGGCAAACACACGGTGTAGATGGTGGTGCCTTCCTGCTGCAGTTCTGCATCTGCTCGCTCTGTTCTGCAGGCACAACAACAACACGGGCCGCTGGCTGACGCGCTTCCGCGCGGTGTGGGACCCCAAACAGGAGCAGTGCTTTGTGGTGGGCAGCATGGCACGGCCGAGGCAGATCGAGGTGTTCCAGGACACGGGGGTGCTGCTGCACGCCTTCTGCAGCCCCGAGTGCCTGGGCTCCGTCTGCTCCATCAATGCATTCCATCCCACCAGGAACGTCCTCGTGGGTGGCAACTCCAGCGGTCGCCTGCACGTCTTCATGGAGTAGGGGAGGGGGGCAGGGGGGCTGTGGGGGAGCAAACTGCGGCTTATAAGTGCTTTACCTGCTTGTGGTTAGGATTCCTTTCAATAAAAAGATTAATCTAAGGGTGGCGGCCAGCGGGGTTTGTACCAAAAGAGCTGTTTTCCCTGATGAGGAACTCAGGGGAAGGGCTGGGGCACAGCTGGGGGGCGAGTGGCACAGCTGGGGGGCACATCTTGGCCCCATGGGTTTCAACTGGAGGCACAGCTGTGGCATACTGGGGGGAACGGGGAGGCACAGCTGGGAGAACATGTGGGGGCACAACCTTGCTGCTGGCTCCAGGGCCTCGCGCTCGGCTTTGAGGTGTGTGAGAACAAACAAATCTCAAACCAAGCCAGTTTTGTTTTTGTTTCCTTTTTTCCCATGATATTTAAATATTTATTTCAATTTAAAAATACTTCTCATGGCACCAATGATTTTATGCTCACTAAGATATCGAATATGTAGAAAAAGGTACATTTTGAAGGAAAATGTAGCTTACAGTATTTGGCACATGAAAGGTTAATTCCTAGGTTTTTCTTATGAAAACTAAGAAATTCACATTTTCAGGTATTTCACCATCTACTGCGCAAAGATGCAGTACGCTACGACTCCGTTTTTGTTGGGTATGAGAACCTACGGGAACAACACCCGAATATAAAGACGTAAAACTAACAGGTGCTGGGACATACATAGCATGGACGTCACCCATTGCTCGGGGTCTGGGTGGTAAAATACCGGGTGAGAACGGCGGGGTTCCGTGGGGCTGATGGCATCGCTGTCCGAAAGGAAGCGGATGGAGGAGGCCGAGGTCGGCGGTGCTGCGGCACCGGGCAGGGGCTACCACGCACTGCATAGACACACTGACTACGGGCTGAGGTAGGAACACTACACTACGAGTGAACTCGGCTACGTTGCATAAACGGGGTCACGGGGACAGCGCGGCAGCGGCGGCCTTTGGGGACGGTGGCCACGTGGTGGCACAGCGCAGCCGTCCTGCTGTGCGGCGCTGCGTGTGGCAGCCATGTGGCACCGCCTGGGCCATCACGCGGGTCTCCGCACGGCAGCCGTGTGTCACTGTGGGCATTGGCAGCTGTGTGTCACCATGTGGCCGCAGTGCGGCACCGCACAGCTGTCGTGGCACTGCATGGCTGTGCCCTGTGCCGGCCGCGGCTCTGCTGAGCGCGGCAGCGATGGCCCCAGCGCTGTGAGATCTCTCCCTGAGATGAAGTAGAGCTGCTCGGCCGCTCGCCCCGTGTCCAGCGGCAGCCCCAGCGCGCCCAGACCGGCGTTATTGCTGCAGGGAAGGGCTGTCATCGCTGCCCGGCTCCACGCGTGCCACGAGCTATCGGCGTGTTTTTGCTTAAGGACGGATGGAGAGCGATGGCTGTCCGGTGGCTTTCCAGCGTTACCTCTTCCCCTGCAGCGCTGTCCTTTTGTCTTCAGGAAAGTCCTAAAATTACCGCTCCTCTCTGTATCCCAAACCAGGAGCGTGGCAGATGGGTTGCAAAGCATCCGCCGCCCCGTGGAGCCCCTCCGCACCGCCTTCGCTCCGGGTGGAAAGTAAAAAAAAGACTCAGGATCAATAACAAAATAGCTTCTCGTTGTTAAAATAGACCTCGAAACAGTCTTCTTTTGTACAAAAGGAGCTGAGCGCGGGGCCGTGGCGCTGCTGGGGTCCCCAGAGGGCGGCACGGGGGTCCTGCAGCACGGTGACATGGGGACCATCCTGCGCCCTGCAGCGCCTGGGAAGATGCTGGCGCAAGGATGAGCGTTAATAGCAAAATAAATTCCTCTCTTTATTCGGTTCTCCCACCGCACCCCGCAGGGACGGGGACCCCTGCAGCGCTTCCGCTCTTCTCCTGCGGAACGAAGGGAGCTGGGGCCGCGGGGCCTCAGGTGTCAGTGAGCAGAGCCACCACGGCGCGGAGCTTGCAGGCAAACCATCGCCTGAGGGGACAAAAGTATTGGTAATGGAACTGCTCGAACTCGGGGGTCTGGCGGATATCGCGGAAAAAGGCAGTGTCAAGGTCTGACTCGGTAAGGACGATGAGGAGGAGGAGCAAGACAAAGAGGAGTCCCACTGTCACGAGGAGCAAACGGAGGACACTTAAAACAAACTTATTCACCTGTTCCGCCCGCGGCCCGCTGCCGGCACCCTGGCACAACGCGCGCAGCTCGCGCGGCTCCTCGGGCTCCGTGCCGGGCGTGCCGGCCTCCGACTCCTTCTCCTCCTCGATGCTGCACGGGGCTCCGTTCAGCTGCCGGGACAGCAGCAGCAGCTCCAGGCTGTGCTCGGCCACCGGCGTGGGCAGCACGCTGTCGGCAGGGCTGTAGCTCTCGTCGGCGATGATGGCCACGCGTTCGCTGCTCTCGGCGCGGCCGCCGCGGCCGTGGGGCACGAAGGCGTCGCCGTGGGATGCGGAGCGCACCGGCGTGGAGTGGGCGCTGTCACGGAGCGACTCCAGGCCTGGGGGACGGGGGAGGTCAGTGTATGGCCACTGAGCTGCCCCAGACCCAAACCACCCACGTTGTGCCCTGGGGTCCTTCTGCTATTGCAGTGTATGGTGTTCTGTTCTATTCTTTTCCATTTGCTTTCATTTCATGCCATGCTATTCCATTCTATCTCCTTCCATGCCATTCCATTCCATCCCATTCTATTTCATTCCCTACTTTTCCATTCCATTCTATTCCATGCCATTCGTTCTAGCCTATCCCATTCTCTTGCATGCCATGCCACTCCATTCTGTCCCATTCCGTTCAGCTCCATTCCGTTCCATCCAACTTCACTGTATTCCATTCCATCCTATTCCATACAATCCCATTTCATTCTATCCCATTGTTTCACTCAATTCTATTCCATTCCATGCCATTCCATCCTATCCTATCCCATTCTCTTGCATGCCATGCCATGTCATGCCATTCCATTCTATCCTATCCCATTCCTTCCCCTTCATCTCCATTCTGTTCCATCCAACTTCTTTCTGTTCTAGCCCATGCCATTATTTTCCATTCCATCCCACTATAAATCATGGTAGAATCACACAATGGTTGGGCAGGAGGGGCCCTCACAACCCCCTGCATGCACAGCTGTGTGCAGCACAGGGCTGTGACAGCTCAGCACCTGCATGCGTGTGACCCAGCTCTGCTTTCCAGCAGCAGCAGAAATAGCTGTGCACACGGCTGGGTGCCCAGCCTGCTCAGGTTACAGCTGAGCCAGAGCTGCCCTTCAGGAGCTGAACCCTGCAGGCAGGGCAAGGGGGGGGGCCCTTCTCCCCACTATCTGAAAAAAACAACAGAAATTCCCACCTCCCAAAAAAGCCCTGTAAAAGTGTAGGATGAGGCAGGGGACAGCTGCCAGTTGGAGCTCTCAGGGGCATTTCCCTGTGGAGGCACAGGGCCCTGGTGCTGTGCCACGGGTGCTGCCCCAGTGCATTGCCCTGTGCTCTGCCACCTCCTGCTCGCAATGCTGCTGGATGCCTGCGGAGCCGTGCGCACAGCAGGGCACAGCATACAGCACAGCACAGGGCATAGCAAGGGGCATAGCGTGGGGCTTAGCAGGGAGCTTAACACGGGGCTGCAGGCACGGTGTGGGGCATGGCATAGGACTTAGCACAGGGCTGTGGGCATAGCACAGGGCATAGCGTGGGGCTTAGCAGGGCAGCGAGGGCACCGACAGCCGCATTCACACCCTGACAGCTGCTTCGCACAGCCTCAGGGCACTGACAACCATTCTCCAAAATCCCCAAGGGGGAGGGCAGTGACAGCCGCCCCCAGGCCAACCCACGCTGCCACCCCATGCTGCCACCTCCACCTCCATGAGCTGAGAAACGTGGGGAACGCGGGGTCCTGCCCCCAACTGAGGGGTCAACAGTAATAACATCCCACTGGGGGGGGGGGGGGGGGGGGACACCCAGAGCTCCCTGCACCCCAACCCCACATCCCTCACCCCCCCGGGGCTGCTGTCACAGGACCCCCCGCCCCCCAACCTCACCTGCTGCGTGCCCGCCTGGAGCGAGGGGGCTGGCGCTGGGGCCGGGGGGAGCGGGCAGCAGGGGCAGAGCCCCCAGGGGCAGAGCCCCCAGAGCGCGTGCCAGCAGCCGCGGCCCCAACGCCAGCACCCGCACCCGCACTGCGCGGCAGCAGTGGTTGATGAAGCGCAGCTGCACGCTGACCCGGGTGGTGATCTTCACCAGGCACTTCCCCATGGCGTGGGGACGGCAGCACGGGGACGGAGACCCACCAGCAGTGGCACGCCAGTGGCCCCACTGCTGTTCGGGGCTATTTTGGGCTCCTGCAGTGTCACAGCTACCAGCAAGGTGACAGTGACATGAAGCAGCCGTGGGCACGGTGCCGGGCACAGTGATGGATGGCCTGGGGCTGCACGTTGCCTGATCTGCAGCAGCACCCAGGGAGGGGGGACGGGGCCCTGGCTCTTAGCAGGGCCCAAAGCACAGCCCCCACGCAGCCCTGAGCTCCCACACAGCCTCAGGGCACTGACAACCATTCCCCACAATCCCCAATGGCAAAGGGGGGTCCTCAGGAGGTTCCTTACATGCCCTGGTGTGAGCACTGTGGGGTCTCCAACTGTGCTGTTGGGGCTGCATGTGGACGGCACTGCAGGGTTCCCGGCAGCACGAGGTTCCAGTAGGACCTCAGTGACCCCAAATGCGGGCAAACAAAGGGACACCAAATGTGAGCACATGTGCAGCTGTGTTGAGTGCCCAAAGCAGCTCAAACCTATGGCTGCAGGTGGGACTCACGGGAAATCACAGAGCAGGGGACCCAGGAGGCACTGCACGGCTCAGCCCTGTTCTGTGTGCTCATTCCTAGTGGGGCATCGCAATGACACTATTAAAGTTCAGGTCTTGTCCACGTCAGGCCCCAAACCCCATTGCCCTGAGCCACAACTGCTGCCACAAAGCTTCGGCCCTTTGATACCCGCTCCCTGACCAGAGGCAGCACCTTCTTTCCGTATGCCCACGTGCCCAGATAAGCGCCGTGCCCCACGCGCGTACCTTCCATGATGGAGATGTGCACAGCCCTCCTGCGGGTGCGCGGCACGCTGCTCAGCCGGGGGCCGTGGGTGATGGAGGGGCAGCTCCTGCTCGGCACCAGCCCGGCCCTGCAGGGAGAGCAGCAGTGAGGGGCCGCCTGCTGGGGCTGCGCGGTGCCCCATGCGCACCGTGGTGCCAGGCTGCGTGGTGCCCTCACCTGTGGATCTCTGGCGGCTCCCGCTTGATCTTGGCGCTGGATTCCATCACCTCTTTTGCAACGCGGCCGCTATGGGTGGGAAGAAGAGCAGCGTGAGCACGGGGAGAGCAGCCCTCAGTGCCTGGGGTCCCATCCCTGCATGCTGCACTGCCCACAGGGCTGGCATCATCTCATGGCTAGGGATGCCCCGCACCCAGCAGAGACATATGGCGCCTTCTCCAGGGAGCAGAATTTAGGAACTGCAATGATTGTTTTATCCCTTGACCTCATAAAAAAACAAACCGACCATGAAAAGCCCCCAGATTTCCCCCCCCACCCCATCCCATCCCCATGATCACTGTATCTCGGGGGCAGGAGGGAAGAATGGCAGCTGAGGAATGGGGAATGCACGGTGGCGGCGCTGACGTGGCCATCCTGCACCAGAACAGCTGGCAGTGGCTGCTACCTGCCCCTTATCTACCTGTATCGGAAGCGGCTCCCCTTGAAGAACAGGTTGCTGCTGGACACTGTCCGGACCTGGCTCGACTTCTCCAACCTGCAGGGCAGCAGGCTGTGAGCGCCACATGCACTCATGGGAGCAAGGAAACTCCCAGCACACGTCCCAGTGAACAAGGCTGAGTAATGTGTGTGAGCCCCGGCAGCTCCCCACCCCACGGCAAAACCCCCACCCCACGGCACAGCCTCATCTCCCCACCTCCAGCACTGCCCCCTGCCCGGGGCAGGAGCGGCCAGCAGCCCTCACCCCGCACACGGGGAGCAGGACCCAGTGCTGACATTATTAATCATAAAAAGATTTGTAAAGTAATATTGCAATTCCATTTTATGTTCATATAATGAGGAGTGAAACCTGCTGATGGCAGCCGCTGATTGCGGAATTCCCAAAGAGAATACATTACACACTTTATCTCGCATCTCGCTGATTAGAATAAAACTCATTAGGAAGCACCAAGGCGGGCATTGCCAAGGAAGGCTCTGAGCACCCAGCACAGCCTCACGCCGAATGCTGGCACTGCCTGCTGCCCCTCCAGCCCAGAACCCCTCCCGGGTGCTGCCCATCATTAAGGCTCTATCTATCTGCCCAATTAATTCCAAATGCATAACCGGGGGCTTGCTGGGTTGGGGGCAGCCCTGGAGCTGCGGGGCAAGGAGGCACAGTGCTGCAGTGCCCCACAGCGTGGTGAGCCCAGGAGCGACCCACAGGGAGCGCAGAACAGAGCGCATCCCCACACTCACTTGTAGAAGGCCTGGTTCTCTATGCCGCACTTCCAGAGGTGCTTGCAGGCTTCAGGTGTTGGGGCGAAGTAGGTGAGGACAATTTTCTTTTCCTGCAGCAGAAAGAATTGTGTTGGTCACAGCAATGGCACCCGGAGCTGTGGGATGGTGGCAGCACAGAGAGCATGGCCACAGCCGGGCAGGGGGACAGGGCAGCCCCAAATGGAAACACACTCACCTCCTTCTGACTCACATACAGGTAGAACGTCTTCCCCTCGAACTTCATCTTGGTCACCTCATTCCTGAAGGGACAGGGATGTGCCATTAGAGGCAGGGATGTGCCATGGGAGGCTGCCCAGCCCCACTGGCACTCGCCCCCTCCCCATCGCACTGAGCTGTGGGTGCAGGGTCAGCCAGCAGCAGCAGTGTGGGGCTGCTCACCACTTGATGAAGTGCACTCTCTTGTTCCCCTGCAGGACGACGAACCCAAAGGGGGTGAAGGCCAGGAATGCTGCATTGCCCGACACGTCCTGCAAGAGAACAGCAGCTCCTCAGCAAAGTGTCAGAGCGCCCTGTAGCACCCAGGGCAGGCATAGAGCAATGGCTGTGATCCTGCAGCACCCTGTGCATGCACCAGCCCCACAGCCCTGCAGCCCCACGTGCTGCTCCCAGCACGAAGCACAACGTGCTGCATCGCTCTCATCAACCCCATCAACTCACAAGTGAGCAATACGCAGTGAAGATGGTTACGTGCCTGACCAACCCTTTTGCTAATAATTAAACTGCATGATGGCAAAATCCCATTCAGTGTTGGAGCGGCCAGGCAGCACCGTGGCCATTTACAATCCATAATTAGTGTCACGGACAGAGCTGGGCAGTGCAGTCACTTAATCACAGCAACCGGGCTCTGGGGAAGCACTCATTAACTGCCTTGGAGCTCATGCAAACTGCAGAGCTGTGCTGGGCTCAGACAGCACTGCAGGGCGGCTGTGGGATGGGGAGCTGCAGCACATCCATGCACACAGCGTGGGAGCAGCACAGGGTGTGTGGTGCATGGGAAGCAGCAGAAAGGGACCCTCGGGATGTGAGCAGAGAAAAAGCCGGGTTCACATCAAGATTGGATCACAATTCATTTCAATCTGCCAGGGGCAAACAGGTGAAACCAAAGAGCCCAAATCCTGCCCTGCACAAAGCGAAGCACAAAGCTGAGCCACAGGCACGAGGAATGCCACAGGTAGGAGTACCTGGTCTTGCCTCAGCTAGGGAGCCCCTACTGCACTGCTGGGTGTCATGGGGCACGCACTGCCCACAGTAAGTGCTATCAGTGCACAGCACTGCAGGAGCTGCTCCCCCAGCACCAGCTATCAGCAGCACCAGCAACAACGCTCACCCATGGCCCTGCCCAGTGCCAGCACCCAGCCCTGTGCTGCTGTGACCCCTCTCAGCCCAGCTCTGTGCTGGGTGATGGGCAGCTCTCTCTGTATGTTGGCTGTGAGTGGGGATTGACACAGCCCAGCTCCTCCTGCTCTGCTCCCTGCATCCCTCTGTGTGCGGTGGGGCTCTGGGGGAGCACGGCGTGGGGTCACTGAGAGTCAATAAAAGCTACTTCCAGCACAAATCTCCATCAGTACAGGAGTGCAGGCAGGGAGGGGACAGTCCTGGTTATGAGTATGGTGGTGGTGGGGCTGCGGTTGGAATGGCAGATCTCAGAGGTCTTTCCAACCTCAGTGGTCCTGTGGCACTCAGGTGCTGCCTCATACAGCAGCGCAACGCCAGGTGACGCAGCCCCACAGACAGCAGTGGGAGCCTCCTCTGCAGCACGTCAGCACAGAGGGAGCAGAGCAGCGGTGGCTGCCCCAGCGCTCACCTTGCAGGGGTGGGGATCCACGCCGTACGTCTCCAGGGTCTGCGCCTTCCTTAGGAAGTTCAGCTCCGAAGTGGCCGGCGTCTGCCCGCTGCGGGAGGGAGAAGGGAGAGGTGGGCTGTGCGCAGGGCAGAGCACGGCACGCACGCGGGTCCCGGCGCGGCGCTGAGCCTCTACCTCAGCTCTGATTTGTGGATCTCCGCAATCTTCCTCTCCAGCTTCTCCGAGTGCTTGGGGAAGAACTGGAACTTGGAGCTGTAGCCCTCCGGGTGCTTCCCGGGGTCGTAGTCACCAATCTCAGCTGGGGGGACAGAGGTGGTGAGCGGCCCCATCGTGGGCACAGGGCCGGCTCGATGCTCAGCCATTAGCCACCCCCCACCCCTCCAGAGCCCCATGCTGCCCACCCCACATCCGCAGTGCCCCCCAGGCAGTGGGAGGGGCTGCACGGTATGATCACAGCCCTGCAGCACGGCCCCGCGCCGGGTGACATTTATATTCGAGGTGCAGCGATCTGTTGTAAGTGGAGTAATGTAATCGGGACTCGGAGCGAAAAGCAGATTTATCTTGTCAGGAAGCATTACCTTGAAGGATATAGGCGGCCAGCAGCGCGGCGTCTGAGGTCTTGCAAAGGAGGCGACCGTGGTAGAGGTCTCTTTTGATCTGCAGGAAGACTAAATACCTGCAGACAGCAGAGAGCCTGTCGGCCAAGTGCACCTTGCTTGGGCTGAGCAGGGCTGTCCCAGCTGCACATGTGTGCACTGCACAGCCCGAGGCACTGCTGGCCATGACCCACAGCTGGGGGCCGCATCCCAGCCCAGCAGAGCTCTCTGGGTGCTCACAGCACTGCCCTCTGGGTGCCGGCACCTTTGAGCCACGCAACCCAAATTCTGGATCCAGGGTCCATTTCTGCCGTCATCTCACCCATTGTTTCCCTGGATCATCCCCAATAGCGTGTTCTTTAGATAATAAAGCAGACCATGAAGGGAACTATCCTGCCAGCAGATCCCACAAGGACCGGAGTGCAACTGGGGGATTGGTGCTGGGAGGACAGGGAGGTGCTCTGCTCTGAGGGGGCTGCAGGAGCAGCAGTGGCACAGGCACTGTGCACGGTAGGCTGTGCTGGCTGGTAAAACAGCCCTTCTCACAGGTTGAGCACAAACCCAAACCCACGGCCCCACACCCCCCTCACCTGGTGATCTCCTCCTTCAGCGCCGCAGGGTCCGTGGGGTAGAACTTGACACGGAAGCACATGGTGAAGGGCGGCTGGGCTGTGGGAACAGCAGCACCATCACCAACCTGTCCCCAAACCTCAGGACACACCCCCCCCCCCCCAGTCCACGCAGGTCGGGCACCGACCCTCACGTCCCCCCTGCAGGGATGGGGCACACCAAGCTGTGCCATGCACCGCCCCGCAGGACACTGCTCAGTGTTTTGCTTGTACTGGGAGCAATGCTTACCCCTCATCTGCTTCACAACCGACTTCGTGAACTCCAGCCAATGCTGAAATGAGAAAGAAAGGGATTGGAGCAGCTCTGTAATAAATATCTGCCACCAGGAATACTCTTTTGGAACCAGAAGGCCACACAGGGGCAATCCCATGCCCAGCCCTGCCCACAGTGCAGGCGGTGGGAGCAGCCGTGGGGACACTGCACAGATCAGGGTGGGCACACGGTGTGGGCAGGAGGAGCACAGAGCAGCCCAGAGCCACACACTGCACACAATACAGCACCAGGTTGCAGCCACACCGCAGTGCGCTCTGCATGGGGCCTCTGTCACACCGCTCTGATCCGCTCACCCTCTGCTTGTCGGGGTCCACAAAGCGGATGCCGAAGTAGTCCTTCTCCAGCAGGTTCAGGTGGTGGCACAGGAGGTCGAACAGGTATTGTCCCTTGGCATCTCTCTGCAAGACAGGAACGGCATTGGCAGCGCAGCAGGGTTGGGGGAGCTGAGACACGGGGAGATGAAGGCGCTAAATCTGTCACGTCAGGCTGGGGATGCAGCAGAGCCACACGAGGAGCCCTCTGCTCCCCAGCACCGCAGCCCCGAGGCCATGCAGCCCCCAGATGAGGGCTGACCCATCAGCAGTGGGATTAGCCCAGGCGGAGGTTGTTGTGCACAACCCCCTCACACTGACATTGATGTCACTGCTCCAGTCGGATTTACGATCACGCACTGTAACTTCTAGCTCACGGAGCAGACCCCCAGCTCCCGCCCCACACTGTGCCCCACAGCATGGTGCTGCTGGCCGGGCACTTTGGGTGTCCCAGGGTCCCATCAGTCAAAGCCAGCAGCAGAGGCAGAGCCCTGCACTCAGCATCACGCTGCCCACAGCACTGTGACTGCTGACTGAGAGCAGGGCCACAGAGCCTCAGAAGCACTAAGGCCACAAAAGACCTCTCAGATCCCCATTGCAACCGCCCCCATCCCACCGTGCCCACTGCCACCTCCCAGTGCCACATCCCCACATCAGAGCAGCTACTCAGCCCCAGAGCCTCAGCACAGCGCAGTGCCCAGCCTGCAACCCACGCCCTGCATTTTGCTTTGTGTTTTGGCTCTCTGCGTGGCACTGCACAGAGCAGGAGGGAGCAGCAGAGCAGCAATGTCCCCAGCATCATGCCTTGCACACCCCGAGGCCCTTTGTTTGCAGGATTTGCTTCTGCCTTTCCATACCCGTACCCAAATTGGCACTAGGACCTGCAGCACTGACACAAAGAGCACAAGGCAGCAGCCCTCCATCCGCCAACAGTGTGCAAATGCAAACGGCTTTACGAGGGGGGAGAAATGCTTCCTCTTTGATCTCTCTAACTTGAGTTAAACATATTCTAAATTAATCATTATGAGTCTGTCTTTCAGGAAATTATCTGAGCCGTCTTTGCAAATCAGAACTTGAAAGAGCTGTCTGTTGTGTAATAGCAGCTTAAGCATTCTGGTTTGATCTCTGTATGTTCTTACAAAGGAGGGTTTGTGCTGGCCCAGCAGCACGGCAGCAGCCCCGGCAGCTCAGTGCCACCAGTGCCCACACCTGAGCGCTTGCTGCTTCCGCCTTAAACTTCAGATACATTTAAAGTCCCGAGGTGCTGCAGGGCTGCTGCCAGGATGCTGAGGCTGCCACCAGAGCCAGGCAGCTCCTTGTTCCCAAGCTGTGCTCTCAGTCCTTTTCTTCTCAATTCAGAGGAGTTCAGACAACAAACCAAGCGTGCTCAGGCTGTGCAGGACGCACCCAAAGGCAGCCAGCAGCGCTGTGTGCAGGGGATGCTGAGTGCATGGCATCCTGCCTGCATCCCCAATAAAACACACAGGATCACCACTTGCCCATAGCACACGGGGAGGGTTTCACATCCCACTGTTGCCCATCCATCATTCACCAGGGATGAACGCAGGATGAGCCATGTGCTCTGGCCCCAGCAGCAGCGCCCTGTGGTACATGGCCCATCATGGAGCAGGCACAGGGGCTGCTGTCACCCCACAGCACAGCTGCACACAGCAGCTCGTGCTGCAGGAACAGCCTCGGGGCAGTGGGCACAGGGCTCTGTGGGTGCCAACCCAGCCCGGTGCTCCCAGCGCAGGGCTGAGCCCCCCAGGACTGGCTGAGAGCCTGCACTGCTCTGGAGAGCACCCAGGGGGTACCGGGAACAGCAGAGCTCCGGAAAGACACGGACCAAAAAAGCAGCAAGCATGAAATCTCAAAACTTTAAGAAGATTAAAGTAACCTTGCCTTCTTCGTTTTTCTAAGCTCCTCTGCCAAAATTAGGGTCACACACAGCTAAAATGAAATGAGTTAATAATAGCAGCTCATCTTCAACAAGCAGCGCTGGCTCATTCCCCTCCTGCTGCCCAGCTGAGCACCAGCAATGGAGCCTGACTACAGAATCACAGAGCCACTGAGGCTGGAGAAGACCTCTGAGACCCCCGAGCCCAACCCAGCTCATTTCTCCATGCCCCAACTGCACCACACAGACCACATCCCCACAGCTCGGGGATGGTGACCCCCGCCCTCTGCACAGCCTGTGCTGGTGCCTCACCTCCCTTCTGGGAAAGGAACTTTCCCTGGCACACAACCTGAGCTCCCCCCTTCCTTCAGCCAGAGCTGCATGCAGTGCCCTGCTTCACGCATCACTGCATGCCTCAGCTTTATTTCACTTAATTACTCCTCCCAACATCCCAAAAGCGTTACACCTCCTCACGTCACAAATCTCACGAAGCTGTACGGCACAGCAACCAGGGAAGCGCTCACCCATGTGCTCTGGGGCAGAGACACACAGCCACTGAAACAGCACAGCTCAGTCTGTGAGCACGGCCCCGTGCCCTGCCACGCTTTGTGCCAGGGGTGCGCAGCTCCTTGGGCAGCCCCACAGCAGTGCCTGCTCCAGGGATTAAGCGCCGGATTTGGGGAACAAATAGCACAGCTTTCCTGCAGCTCTGCAGCCACGCTGTGGGGCTGGCCAGCCCCTGCTCCATCAGCTTAGGGGGAGATTATTTTTTAAAAGGAAACTGTCAAGAAAAGTCTGCTCTAAAAAGTGAAGTTGGAGCTTAAATCTCTTTGGCGGCACCAGCTGAGCTGGGAGAGATCAAAGAGCCACAGCTCCACTGCAGCACGAGGGGATTTTCACTGGCAATTTGATGGCAATATGTGCTTTAAGTGCTTCATTTTCAACATTCGGCATTGTGCTGCGTGGGGCTGGGATTTACTGTCCCTCAGATGGAGTCAGCATTCAGCCTGCAGACTCTGGGAGGGCTCCAGGCTGCTCAGTCTGCAGAGTAAGCCGGCACCTCATCAGAACTGCAGCATGGGGAGAAAATGGGCAGAAACAGGCAAGAACACCCCATGAGCTGCAAGCATCCTTACAGTAGGTGGCCATCAGCACAGCAACTTCCCCACAGCAGCCCCATAGCAGCCCCAGGCCCCCCAGTGAGCAGCACGATCATGAGAGCTTGTGCCTTGCCGTGAATTTGCTGCCTGCAATCCTTCTTCCCAGCTGATGTGGGCAGTTCTGTCTCCAGGACTTACCATGTGAGTTTGCTGCAACTGATAAACCTTGGAGAAGGAAAGCATAATGCTATAATGTGATGGAAAGTACAGTGATAATTGCAGGGTAGAAAAGTGTTTGGCTGTAGCACATGAGGATAAGCTCAAATGCAGCAGCCATGGACACAGAAACAAAGGGGAGGGGGAGAAAGGAGGGAAGCTGCTTACCTCTGGAAGGCCTCAGGTAGGCAGAGATCTCCAGAGAAACACCCTCACCTTCACTGCCAACCCTTAAGTGAGGGCTGGGAAGGGGTGGATCCTGGCTCCAGCCCTCCCTGTTACTCAGCTGCATTGCATGAACCTGAGCTTCCCTGGGCTGGCCCTGCCTTCCACCAGGTGCTCCATCACTGCTGCAGGCTGTGACTCAGCATTTCTGCTACAGAAAGTAACCAGAAAGTGATTTCTGTAGCTGTAAACTCCAGCTGCTGTATTCCCCAGTGAACCCACAGCTGGGAGCAGGGCAGTGCTACAGGAGCAGGGCAGTGCTGGGCTGTGCTCAATGCAGCTGCAGTGGCCCACACTGTGCCCCCCCCCACAGGGCCATCTGCTGCTGTTTCTCACACCAGAATATTTATCAGTGAGTCACAATTGGGGATGACTATGACGAAGGTTTCTGCCAGAATGGGGAATTTAACACGGTTCAAATATTTATCGTGGGTAACGTGCAGGGGAATTTTCTTCCCCTAAGAAGCCATGCAGGTTGCCAGGCTGCCCCCCACTGTCCTGCAGGAGGTGGGGGTTTGTTCTGCAGCCACCCAACACCCAACTGCAGAGGAGGAGCAAAGATGTGGCACAGCACAGGGATGCTCAGCCCCAGGGCACCCCTTGGCACAGCCTGGCCAAGCCAACATCAGACTCTGGGCCTGGGGACAAGGAAACCAGACTGGGTTCTGCAAAGTGCCACTTATTCTCCAGCCCTGAGTGCGGCTCTGGAGCAACGCACACACACCGGGTGACAGATGACCTGTGTCCTCTTGCACTGAGCTGCCCATTGCTGCTGTGCAACTTTCATGAATTAAATTCAGAACTTGTAAGTCTATAATTTAGAAGCACTGAAAACCTCTCTCCATAAAAGCAAATTGCCTTCTCCCATCGTTCAAGCTCATGTTTTCATTCATGTGAGCTTGGAGCGGCTCCATGTTTGCTCTTGTTTAAGTTGGCACTCCTTTTCCATGGCGCACGGAGCGCTGCTGCTGCAGCGGATGGCGGTGCGTGCGAGGAACACAGCAGCCAGCTGACGATCAGGAATGCTCTGTCAGGAAGCGAACCCTGCTTGCAGCACACAGGACAAACCCACGGACAACTGTATCTCTGCAGCTCTCACCTCAAGGGAGCAGCAGCTGAATCTCAGAGACCCCTCGCAGGCACCCTGGGGTCTCAAGGCACGATGAGATGCCAAGTGCCTGGTGCTAAGCATGGACTCCTGCTCTGTTGCAGAGCGGCTCCACCAACCACCCCCAGCGCTGCGGCCATGGGCTGCAGATTGCTGCAGGACCCAATGCTGAGCACTGCTCCTTGCAGCCAGCAGCTCCACACACATCGCTGCTGGAGGGCAGGAGCAGTGAGAAAAGAGAGCAACCAAAGCCAGGAGCTGTGCGTGCTGCTCAGCTCCAGGAAAGCACCTTTGGTTTTCCTGGCAACAGCCCCGAGGAGAAGCTCGCTTTCCTTCCAGCAGCTGAACGCAGCAAAACGCTCACAGGAGGGAAGAAAGAAACGTGTAAACGGGTCATAAATATTTACAGGCCGTGAAAGCGAAGCGGGGCGCAGGCGGGAGCAGCGGCTGCAGCACTGGCACAGCCCAGCACCTCCTGCTGCCCTGGGCTGAGCGCGGCTCAGACGCAGCCGGGCGCAGTGCTGGGACCCACGCAGCCCCA